TTTTATTTTTGTCCACTTGAGGGGCAAAAAATGGTATCTCATGCTTTAAAATTAATTTCTCTAATTATTAGAGAGTCTATACATCTCTCATCATGTTCATTTGTGGCTTTTACTTGTTCTACTGTGTGGGGTTCATTTGTCTCTACTGTATCTAGGAATTTTTGCTCCGTTAAAAAACTGGTTTTTGTATTACTATTTTTTTCATTACACATCAACTGAAACTCTGTTAGCTCTATTTTTATCTTTTTCTTAAAATGGATTTTCAGAATATTCAGGCTGATTTTTCTGAGTCTTCCTTAACTATAGGCAGAAAAAGATTCCAAAAGTCCTGGCTACAGAGAGGAAGTATGCTTAGTGATTATGGGTGTGGTCTTTGGTGTCAGGCTGACCTGGATTAGAACCTAGGTTGTGTCATACACTTTCCTGTAACCACAGGAAAGTTCTTATCATCTCTATGCCTCCATTTCTTCTTTTTAAAAATGACTTCAGTAAAAGTACTAGACTCATAGAATTGTTACAAAGCTTAGACAAGACAATAATGCATGTATCTCACCACAATGCCCGAAACTTATGTGCTCAATAAATATTAGATAGTAAATTATTATTTATAATGTGGGCAACAGAGATACAGAATTGGATGTTTAAGTTTTATTCCAGGTCCTAGAACCTATCCCAGTGAAGTTACTCTTAACAAGCTCCAAGAAGGCTAATAAAACTTAACTTTTCTTAGAGTGGGCATTTCACCTTATGTTCCAGCCAGCCTTATGGAATTCCTATTTCCTGGAGCACTAAAATATTCAATTCATTTATTAATTCAGCCGTTACTCTTGTGTTCCTACCATGTTTAAAGACCAAGATATTCAATTATTTTAAGAATCCATTTCATTTTCTCTGCCTGGAACTTATTCTATATTCCTTTGGAAAAAGTGAAAATCCAAATTCCAGTGAAATGTGACGAAACCAGCAGACAGAAAATTAAGAAAGAACCTTAAAGATTGTCTAGTTCGACTTCTTATTTTATAGATGAGGAAACTGTAGACCAGAGGAGTAAAACAACTTTTCTAAGGTCATATAGTGATTTAGTGGGGGAATTGGGACGGGAACCCAGATATCCCAAATCTAAGCCAGCACTCTGTTGACTGAATCACGCTGTGCTCAAGGATGCATCTCTCCTTTTGGCCCAACATGATTTCAAAAATTAGAAACAAACAAAGAGAAGCACAGGTTAAAAAAAGATCAAAATGAGTCAAAGCTCTTCAAAGTTTGTCAAGAAAGCAGGAAGTATAAGACACTTCCCCGCTGGTTGGGAAAACATAGCTACATTTTCACCCAGTGGGACAGCATTCCAATTCTCCTTTCATTTGTTTTTGGCCCCTCGCAACAACCCATATTTAACAATGATACTCTACATTCACAGTAAATGGTAAACAACAATCCTTCAGGTCTGTGGTTGGCAATCCCTTGTCCACATGCCAAAGATGCTACAGGTGCCAATATCAGGTAGCAAGTGAACCTGCTGCCACACATGGATTCCCGTTCCTATCATTTCTGGGAGCTTCTGCGCATAACTGTCTCCACCCTCTTGCCAGGTTTTTAGTTTTTTGTTTTTTATAAATTTATTTATTTATTTTTGGCTGTGTTTGGTGTTCGTTGCTGCACACGGGCTTTCTCTAGTTGTGGCGAGCAGGGGCTACTCTTCATTGCGGTGCGCAGGCTTCTCTTGTTGTGGAGCACGGGCTCTAGGCACGCGGGCTTCAGTAGTTGTAGCACATGGGCTCAGTAGTTGTGGCGCATGGGCTTAGTTCCTCTGCGGCATGTGGGATCTTCCAAGATCCCAATGCAAGACTCTTTCTTGCATTGTTTTCAGTTTCACTCTCCTGCTAGTTGAGAGGCTCTTCCTCCATCCCTGACCCTTGGAGTCACAGTCCTTTCTTGCTACCTCCCTCTCATTTTCACGCCAGTATAAAGTGAAACTGCTTTCTTCAGCAAATTTAAGTGCTATTTCTATATGGAGCTCAAGGCCTATCTTTGGCTGGACATTGAAAGTTTTTTCTTCTCTCCTCTTCCTTCTCCTGAAACATCACAATCTTTTTGATTTTTATATATTGGTTGTGTCTTGGTAATTAGATTGCCTTTGTTTGATCCCGGACTAGGTACTTATTACCTGTGAGGCTTTGGTTAAGGTACTTAATCTCTTTGTGCTTCTGTTTTCTCATAGGGCTGTTACAAAGGTTTGAAAAGCGAATACTTATAAGATGCTTAGAAGAGCGCCCCACCATAGTGAGTACTCAGTAAACGTGTGCACACATGCACATGTGTATGAACACGTGAGTGATATATGTGAAAACAGAGATGTCCTAGTTCTGGGTCTTCACACCATGCTCAGGTCTAAACCAAACCTCTAATTGCAATGAGAGCAGCCTCCGTTCCCACCCTCTCTGTGCTGCTCCAAAACTCTGAACATCTTCAGCGACCATGCCCACCGGACTCACTGACCGGGACCAGAAGCCTTCAATAGGTAATATCTGGCTCTCCCAGCCTCACTGTGGCCTATATTAGACTGAGAAGGAACCCACACTCTCCTAACATATCTTACGTTGCGATAGGTCAGCCTTATCCTTAATTTAATAACATTGATAGTGATGCACTATACTGTCCTGTTGAGTAGGAAAGGCTTGGGAGCCAGGTTGTTGGGGTATGAGTCTCACATTTGCCGTCTGCTTAATATTTGCATCTATAAAATGGGATGATAATGAGAAATGGATTTGTTATGATGATGAAACGTGGTGATCTCTGTAAACTAGCTGTCAATGTGCAATGGGTGGCACAGAATAATTAATAGTACTATTAACTATTATTATTATTAACACCCCTTTTTCCATTCAGTTGCCTCTGCTTAGGGCTTTCCATTCATACCCAGCGATTGAAAGTCGGGCTGTAGCACTTGCTAGCTCTTCCTAAGTGAAGAGTGTATGTTTATTCAGAGAGAATCATAGATATTTTTCTTGAGAAGATGAAAAGAGTTTGGAAACAAGTGGCCATCAAAAGCCCAGGGCAGACTGGACAGTGGATTTTGTTGGGTAATTCCCTGGGATGCCATCTGAATGTGTGTGGACTGACTCTCTGATCTCAGAAATTGTAAGACAGATGATAGGATTTAATCAACAAAATCAATTTCCCCTAAGCCTAAGTAGGCATTTAGGTACATTTACTATTTGTAAGAGGATTTACAATTGAGAGGAAACATCCGAATGTGGGGTAAAAATGGACAAAGTTATTAATGGATTCTGGGTCTCTACCTGTAGCTACAGTATTGCAAAGAATTGTCATTGATGTGGCTCCATCAGTAATGCCTGCCATTCTGCTATTACTGCACACACCTGATGAAGTCAGAGGTAGAGTGTCTATTTTAACCTTCTTGGCCCCTTAGTAGTGGATGGAATAAATTTTTACCTCTAGATAGTCTTAATGCACCAAGCAGTTAAATGAAAAAATAAATATGTTTGATAGAATTAAATATAATGAATGCAGCAAAACTTAAATACTTTATGGGGAGGAAAAGAGAATGCTTTACAGAGTGTCTTGGATCACTTAGTCTCAGACATAAAGAAAGTGATGAGCTTAGGTGGTATTCAGTACCCAAGGCTCCAAGTAGACTACTGAGGGCGGTGATTCAAATGTCACTCCAGGCAGGAATGTTCAGTGGAGAAAGGACAGCCTCTTCAATAAGTGGTGCTGGGAAAACTGGACAGGTACATGTAAAAGTATGAGATTAGATCACTCCCTAACACCATACACAAAAATAAGCTCAAAATGGATTAAAGACCTAAAAGTAAGGCCAGAAACTATCAAACTCTTAGAGGAAAACACAGGCAGAACACTCTATGACATAAATCACAGCAAGATCCTTTTTGACCCACCTCCTAGAGAAATGGAAATAAAAACAAAAATAAACAAATGGGACCTAATGAAACTTCAAAGCTTTTGCACAGCAAAGGAAACCGTAAACAAGACAACCCTCAGAATGGGAGAAAATATTTGCAAATGAAGCAACTGACAAAGGATTAATCTCCAGAACATACAAGCAACTCATGCAGCTCAATATCAAAGAAAACAAACAACCCAATCCAAAAATGGGCAGAGGACCTAAATAGACATTTCTCCAAAGAAGATATACAGATTGCCAACAAACACATGAAAGGATGCTCAACTTCATTAATCATTAGAGAAATGCAAATCAAAACTACAATGAGATATCATCTCACACCAGTCAGAATGGCCATCATCAAAAAATCTAGAAACAATAAATGCTGGAGAGGGTGTGGAGAAAAGGGAACCCTCTTGCACTGTTGGTGAGAATGTAAATTGATACAGCCACTATGGAGAACAGTATGGAGGTTCCTTAAAAACCTACAAATAAAACTACCATATGACCCAGCAATCCCACTACTGGGCATATACCCTGAGAAAACCAAAATTCAAAAAGAGTCATGTACCAAAATATTCATTGCAGCTCTATTTACAATAGCCCAGAGATGGAAACAACCTAAGTGTCCATCATCGGATGAATGGATAAAGAAGATGTGGCACACATATACAATGGAATATTACTCAGCCGTAAAAAGAAATGAAATTGAGCTATTTGTAATGAGGTGGATAGACCTAGAGTCTGTCATACAGAGTGAAGTAAGTCAGAAAGAGAAAGACAAATACCATATGCTAACACATATATATGGAATTTAAGAAAAAAAATGTCATGAAGAACCTAGGGGTAAGACAGGGGGAAGCAGCTTCATAGCACAGGGAGATCAGCTCTGTGCTTTGTGACCGCCTGGAGGGGTGGGATAGGGAGGGTGGGAGGGAGGGAGATGCAAGAGGCAAGAGATATGGGAACATATGAATATGTATAACTGATTCACTTTGTTATAAAGCAGAAACTAACACAGCATTGTAAAGCAATTATACTCCAATAAAGATGTAAAAAAAAAAAACAACAAATGTCACTCCAACTGGAAATGACTTTCCTTGAACAGTGCTCTCCGCAGGGCACCCTTGACCTCTGTGTTCCTCAGGCTATAGATCAGTGGGTTCAGCATAGGTTGAAAAAACTGTAAAACAGGAAAAGGATCTTCTGCCGGGTGGCTGGATTTGGGGGCCGTGTGCATGACGATGGCACTGCCAAAGAAGAGCCCAATCACGCAGAGGTGGGAGCAGCAGGTGGAGAAGGCCTTTCTGCGGCCCTCACCCGACTGCATCCTCAGGATGGCAACCAGGATGCGTGTGGAGGAGACCAGCACCAAGCAGAGGGGCCCAACTAAGACAAACACAGAAGCAGCAAAGATGACAACTTGCTTGAGCCAGGTATCAGCACATGCCAGTTTGAGGACAGACAGGATTTCTCAGAAGAAGTGGTTGATTTCATGAAGCCCACAGAAGAGCAGTCTCAGGACGAGGCCCACATGGACCAGGGCCAGGAGGGAGCCACCCGCCCAGGAAATCACCACCAGGGTGATGCAGATGCTCCAGCTTACAATGACAGAATATTGGAGGGGGTGGCAGAGGGCCACATACTGCTCATAGGACAATACCGCCAGGAGAAGACACTCGGCATAAGTAAAAGTCAAAAAGAGAAAGGTCTGTTTCATGCAGCCAGCAAAGGAGATGGGCTTGGCTGGACTCAGGAGGTCTCCAAGCATCTGGGGCACCGTGTTGCAGGCATACGCTATGTCAACGATGGCCAGGTGTGAGAGGAAGAAGTACAGTGCATTCTGGAGTCCAGTGAGATGAGCCCCAGGATGGCCCTGTTTTCCAGCAGGGTGAAGGTGTAAGACAGGCAGAAGAGCCCAAAGAGAAGTATCTGAATCCTTGGGCCAAGACAAAATCCCAGGAGAATGAATTCTGTAACCACTGTCTGATTTCCCCCATCTCACTATGAAAAGGATAAAATGGGATTGCTCAGGACAGAGTTATCGAAAATATCTAGACATTATTTCATAAAAATAGTCATTTTTAAAGGACAAAATTTTAGGGTATTGACTAGTTTTTCATTAAGTTAATCACTTAATCTAACATCCAGTTTTATAGGAAGGGGATTGTGTCACCAATGATAGGTTACCTAGAGTCACTGACACTTGTGATGGGGAGAAAGACTGTCAAATCAAAAGAGGAAATAAAATGACCATGAAATAGGGATGATCTTGGAGCTGCACGTGTCAACATCACAAAGAGGATTTCTGGGATGCAGAAGTAATCAATAATGGAAGAACTCCAAATACGGGAATCAGAGTAGTCCTAGAAAAGAGATGTCATTCCAGTTTCTCAAGAGGAATATCAACTGCGTCACTTTCAGCAGCTGAAATCAACCTTTGCTCTCTAAAGCAGCTTACCTGATAACAGGAGGAAGAAAAAGAGAAAATGAAACTTTTATGACAATGTGATTGTTTAAGTTGCTAAGAAGGCATCAGTGGATATGCTCCATGTGAGCTCTCATGAGTGATGAAATCAAACCAACCACTGGGCATTTGGAAATTAATGTACTGATGGGTTCACACTTACTGATTTACCAAATAACTTTATTGAAAAACAATCCTTACAATTTGTAGGAATTGGATTTGGGGGGCTGCCCAGTGTTCATGTATTGTGAATCTAGACTTGTGTGCAGGGGTGTGAGTCTGAAGTCAGGCATTCACACATCGTTTTGAAGGCGAGTGTGGATGCAGGTGAAAACACTTCAAGACATAGTTCCCCATGTGCTACTTGTAACCCTACTACTCTACTCCTATCAAAAGAGAAAGTCTAGGTCATAATCTAACTGGGAAAGGCCATACCTGGAACAACAGTGTGTTGCAGGCCTCGCCATCTGTGTGACGGCTTAACGTTTGCATCATGTTTCATTTGTGAAATTCAGAAAGACAAGAAATGACGATTCATTAAAAAATCAACTCTGCCCTACTTCAGCAACACAAGAATTGATATCTGCTTTACAGATAGCTAATTTCTTTTTGGTAAAGAGAAAATTTAGTGAATTTGTCATTTTACAGATTTACATAGCATTAAATTGGTGGCCCAGTATTTGATGCTCCTGTGAATTGGTGATGTACCAAACAATAGCTGGCTTGTCCTTAAGTCCTGGATAACAGCTGCCTCAAAATACCATGTAGAAATCTAGCATCTTTGCTGGTGCAAACATTTAGTTGCACCTTTGCTGGGCAAAAATAACCTGGGGCTGAGCTACTGAATTTGCGCCTGCTTGCCGCTAAAGAAAAGACTTCTCCAGGGTTAATGTATGGAAAGGTGCTTTTGTTGATAAGATCCTGGTCCAGTTGTCGTTATACCAATGGAGACATTAATGAGATGCTCCCTGAGGACCTTGGAAATAAGAGAAACAATACTGATTTTTGGGAAGCAGAACTTGTAAAATCCACTCATAATGGATGGGAAGAACTGGAGGAGGAAAACAAGAAAACCTGTGTAGACATATAACTGGAGAGTTCTGAGTGCATCCAAAAACTCCACTCAAGGAGCTCTGATGCTATCTCACGGAAGAGGCGGAAGAGGATCTGATCGTGACTCAGGAATCCAAATGTGACAGTGGCGTGAGATACTTGTCTACAGTAAGACTGAGGAATAAAGAAGAGGGTTACCCATGGGGCCAGTGGTTATCAGCACATCTTCAGCACTGTCCAGGGGAGTCGGCCTGATGGTATGAGAGTGCTGTCCTCCTGGCAGGTCTATGTCTACAGCTCAGATGGCTTGAGTGATCGGGGATCAATAACCCTCACTGGAAATCTCCAGTTAACTCCCCCTGCCCCGATTCCATGCTCACCAATCAACTGGGAGGTATTAATTTAGTACGATACAGATGAGAAATGAATAAAATTTCCGAAGCTGGATCTACAAAGTGAGGACCAGGCCCTAGATAGAGATAATCACATAGAAATACAACCCAAGGAAAGCTTTTCTGAGAAGCTAATTGAAATCCTGAAGGACATCCCCACTACATCCCTCTCTAGAAGCAACAAATGACTGTTTTTTAAATAAGTATTATCAATAAATTATTATATTACCAAGACACAATAGAATCTACCATACTATGAACTCCTAACATGCGACTAAGGCTTATTTTTTTTTCAGGAGTATATAAAAAACTACTGTGCTAGGACAACCTTTTAAATTTATTTGGAAAACATATTAAAATATTTAGTTGTGAAAATGAGTTTGAATCTGCATCTTATAAAATGCTTAATCTCTTTATTCAGTCCTCCTTTATTTCCTTCTGTAACTTCCAAAATGATTAGATAAAGGAAAAAGAAACACTACTTACAAAGTATGAATCTCTTGGAAACCTAAAGGGAGAAAAAAGAGAAAGAAGGTCCTAACAAGTACATTAAGAGTCTTTACAAAAACAGTTGACATATTGACAACTGGATTGTAACCCACTCCTTGTGAACAAGGAACAGGTGTATCTAGTTTTGTAATTTTGGCACTTAGCAAATGTTTACTGAGTGAACAAATGAATGAATGAATACACATAAATGAGTGAATGCCTAAATGTTGAAAGTTTGGACCATTCTTGGACTGGGTCTGTAATTTCTGACTTGCTTAAATCTTGACCATAATCATACCCAATTAAGGACATTCATCCCAAAGCCAAAAAGAACACTGACTGAAGTTTGATAATAACAACTGTAGAATCTCAAGATGTTTAAGTCCTGAACACTTGAAAGACACTTCTATTTTCTTTCTTTTTTCCCTCGTATTTTATTTCATTCTACATGTTATTAAAAGCATCTTACCTGAACTCAAATGGATTGAATTTGCTAAAGGACTAGCAGAAGTGAAAGGAGAGACTAAGAAAGAAATTAAATATATTGTGGTTCCGAATGCAACATTCAAGCATTGTTTGATGCTATAAATGATACATCTTATATGTATGTACAAGTTAGCATTTTAAAAATTGGCAAATTGTTTTATGACTAATATGTTATCCATGATCTCTGTGGTTTCAAAATAAATATCTAAGATTGAAATCATTTCTTTATACACGAACAAACATGTCAGCACTAGATGCGGCCTACGTTTCAAAAAGTAAAATTTAAGACCTGGTGAACTGACAAACTCTTTTCTAATGTTGTGGGCATGAGTCACATAGCATTCCTAAAAATGAAAGCTATTTTTAAATCCTCAATTCAACTTAAGTACTGCATGTTTTACTTTCCAGTTATATGAAATATTTGTTACAATTAATGTACTCAGTAGAACCCTTCTCTGATTCTTTCCTAGATCAAAATATTTTAACATTTCTCTTGAGTTGTTTTCCTTGACCCATGTGTTAGTTAGAAGGATGTTGTTTAATCTCCAAATATTTGGGGGATTTTCCAGCTCTCTCTCTGTTATTGATTTCTACTTTAATTCCATTATGATCTAAGAACAGATATCGTATGATTTCTATTCTTTTACATTTGTTCAGGTGTGTTTTATGGCCCCAAATGTGCTGTATCTTGGTGAATGTTACATGTGAGCTTGAGAAGAATGTGTATTTTGCTGTTGGATGAAGTGGTCTATAGGTGTCCGTTATATCCAGTTGATGGATGGTGTTGTTTAGCTATATCCTTATTGATTTTCCTCCTGCTGGATTGTTCATGTATGATAGTATATGGCACTACAGAGTAGTAATTAAAGAGCATAAGCTTAAGGACCAGACACACATTTACTACTTGGATGACTGGCTATAGTTCTTCACCCCTTAGCCCTAGTATTAACGTTTTTGAAAGGAGAAAAGTGATAGTACCCTATTTCATGAGGTTGTTGTGAAGACTGAGATAATACGTGTTAAATAGTTAAATGATTTAACTGAGACAAAAAACTGAGCACATTCCTGCCACACAGGAATTGTAAGTATTACAATGTAAGTCAACAATGCGATTTTGTGGATAATATACAGTTGAAGGATCAGGAAAGCAGGTTTTGGCTTCCGACCTTTCAATGTTTTTATTGGGAAAGTGCATGATTAGTTGAAGAGATATTAGGGATTAAAAAGAGCACAAAACTGTGACAATTCTATTAAAAACTACAGAGATTATCCTTTAAGTAGCAACTCCTTACCTTTTCTTCACTTCCCTCAACCACACATACACACACACACACACATACATTCATGTACATTCCAGGTTTGGGAAAGTCTAACATTTAAAGTATTTTCTGTGTGTCTGACACTGTTCTCCAAGTTACGGATAATGGATAAGATGTGTATGAGCTTCATAGATTATATATTGTGGTTTTGTTGACGAGACATAAACACAAGGACCGAACTAATGTCATTTTCCCGTGAAATGAAAGATCACTCCATAATACATCCCAGTATAATCTTCCTTGGTTTGCAAAAATGATTCCATATATTAAACTTAAATCCATCACACAGGCTTTTCTTATTTTTCTATCTAGAGTCAATGTTCACAAGGTTATTGCTTTCATGCAGCTACTTAACCACTGTATAGAACAAAGTTAACCAAATTCTACACATAGGTACACTATTTGTGAGGAATATGTTCAAAAAGTTAGCATTAGGGCTTCCCTGGCGGCGCAGTGGTTGGGAGTCCGCCTGCCGATGCAGGGGACGCGGGTTCGTGCCCCGGTCCGGGAGGATCCCACGTGCCGCGGAGTGGCTGGGCCCGTGAGCCATGGCCACTGGGCCTGCGCGTCCGGAGCCTGTGCTCCGCAACGGGAGAGGCCGCAGCGGTAAGAGGCCCGCGTACCACCAAATAAAAAAAAAAGTTAGCATTAACTTTTCCTCAAACTGTCCCCACAGCGGAATAACCACCAGTTCACATTTACAGAGGACTGAGTTTCCTTACCTATGCTTAAGAAGAATAGCACCATAAAATTGAGAGTTAGGAGTTACACACTACTGTATATAAAATAGATGATGAACAAGGACCCACTGTACAGCACGGGGAACTCCACTCAATATTTGTAATAACCTATATGGGAAAAGAATCTGAAAAAGAATGGATATATGTATAACTGAACTACTTTGCTGTACACCTGAAATTAACACATTGTAAATCAACTATACACTAATATAAAATAAAAATTAAATTAAAAATACAAAATCAAAAGACCAGATGCTACAACATATATAAGAGGAATTGATAGTAAAAATAAATAAATAAATAAGGCAATCTGGTTAGCATCCACATTTGGACTCAAGACCTCAGAAGAGGAAAGCACCTGAAGGTTGGATGGAGTCCTGCTTTAGGGGGCTTCTGTGGGAGCTGCAGAGCCCTCACTTCTGTTCCTGATTGAAAATGGGACCAGATCTTCAGAAAAAGAGGTTTTATTCTCCGATGGGCTCAACCTAGCTGGCAGCTCTTGAGAGTTCACTGGAAGGGGTGTGCTGTGAGATGCAGTGCACGCCCACCTCCACTGGGAGGAGAGGCGAAGCAATTCTCTTTTTCTATTTCTGTTCTCATCCCCAGCAGGACACACGATTAGGAAATACAGACAGCCCCAGAGCACACCCCTGAGACAACATCACTCATTACAGTCCCTTAATATTTGGCATTATTTGGATTTCATGAATCCCCAGCACTGACCTAGTTCCCAAATCTCCAGATGGTTCAGGTGAACCTGTAAGGAAGCAGACCCAGTGTGACAAGGAATAAATTCCTGGCATTAACAGCTGTAGTTCAGCTTCTCCCCAGTGACTGGGTCCCTTGTGTTGCAGCGGAGTTGGGCAGAAAGCACCTTGAAAAAGCAGCTGATTCCAAGTAACAACTCCAGGTGCGAAGATGCTGCAGAGAGCTGGTTATGGACGCGGGGAGTGGACTGGGGGTCCAAAGGGGCAAAAGGTGTCCCAGGGGGCTTAGTAGATCCTGCCTAAAGGAGGGTTTTCTAGGATGCAAACCACCAAAGTAGGGTGACCATTAGAAGAATCTCTAATCTCCATTCTGAGGCCAGTCCCGCAGGGGAGGGGAGGAAAGGACGCTCTCCAAGACAGCTTCCCCTAGAGGCTTCCTGCCTCTACTGGGATCGGGAGAAGATTTGCTACCTCAGATGTTGTCATATTTATTTGTATTTTGCTGCGTTCTTTTACTGAACATAAAAGGGTTAAAATGCTATTTTGGAAATCTCACATCAATCAATCATGCAACTTAAGAACTAGTTAGTTCATTATAGTGTGATTCATGACTTACTGGGGTTGTGACATAAACTTGGGGGAAACTGGGCACAGTTAGCAAATTTTGAGAACACGTCCACCTGTGCTCCTACTGTACACATCCACTGTGAGAAGAAACACACAAAGTTGGCTCCTAATCGTATGAAATGCCAGGTGCATATTAGGCAATCCATAAATATTGGGACCCTTTTTCTTTCTTCCTCTTTTTCTTTTCTTTCTCTCTTCCTTTCTTTCTTTCTCCTTTCCTTCCTTTCTTCCTTCCTTTTGCTCTTTCTCTCCTTCCTTCCTTCCTCCCTCCCTCCTTCCCTCCCTCCCTTTTTCCCTTCCTTCCTTCTTTCTTTCTTTCTTTCTTTTTCTTTCTTTTCTTTCTCTCCCTCTCTCTTTCCTTCATGTTCCATGTGACTGCAGAAAATGTGGAAATCAGGAAACTAACACATAAAAGAAAAACTGAAATACTGTGAAAACAATA